CCCCCCCCCCCCCCCCCCCACCTTGTACTACGGTGGGGGTATGTGTACGTCCGAGGGTTAATTGCTTTTCTTTTTTTTTTTTTTACGCTCGCTAGAGTCGCTCATAACGCTTTCCTAAGAGTGACTGACAAAATGATAAAAAGAGGTCGACTTCTTGAAAGTCTTGACTGACCTTGGACCGAAAGAAGTAATTTCGAAACTGTTGTGCTTACGTACATGGTAAAGCCAAAATTTGGACCATTCTCACGCGTAGGCGGAGATGATCGACTGATTGACAAGGTTAACCTGCCTTAAACTACCTCGCGCGGTGGTTTAATGTTCGTGCTTGATTTGCATAACCCAGTTAGAAGTCAGTTAAGACTGTAGAAAACCTGGCCACTGTCGCATTTTATTCAAACGAGTTAACTTTAATTAGCAAATTGTAAATAACTTGGTAAATTCCCCAAGTACGGCCCCAGCCAGTAGTGTTTCTAGCAGGATAAGTAAATTGCTGGGGTGCTTGGGATAAAGCTCCAGCGATTTCTGTTGAACAGCTAGATCCTCCTTCCTATTTGCCTGACACAATGTAAGGGAGAAGTTGATGTTAGGGCAGGAGTCACCAAGGGCCTTATTTCATGCACACCTGGAAGTAAACGTACAATATGCGTTTTGACATCTCTTTCATTATTTTTAGTGGAATTTTTTATCAAGCCAGGCATATGCAGTCTGCGACATAACCATTGCAACCGAGCCGACTAACTGGCTAAGAACAGATTTTATTGACGTCAAGGATGCTAAAATGCTGAATATTAAACTGAAATACAACCTTCGTAGATGTCCACCTCCACCAAATGCAAGTTCTTTCTGCAAACACAAATGGAGCATTTATGTGCTTCATGTAGAAAAAGAAGTAGTTGGAGTTGATTTAAACCCACTCACAGCTAATGAATTAACATACGAAGAGGTTGATACAATTGCACCAACAGTCCTGCCTGCAGCTGGAAAAGTAGAGCAATATGATTATGATGTTAAAATCATAACCAAAAAGGGAGGAGTGTATCTTGCATTCTTAGACCAAGGAGCCTGTTTGTCATTATCAAGTGTTATTGTGAGTTCCAATTATTGCCCCGAGATTGACAGAGTTCTGGTGAGATTTTCAAGGGCAGCTGCTCCAGTTAATGACTCTTTTCTCGAGGAACAAACAGGACGCTGTACTGATGTTAACTCTGTTAACAAAGTGAAACTATCAGGCGTTTGCCTTAGTAACGGAGAATGGAACATCACGGATGCGATCAAGTGTCTTTGTAAACCTGGCTATGAGCTTGTCAATGGATCTGGGAGAAATGTCCTGGAATGCAGTGGTATGAACGAAAATTCTCTTTTCTTAAGAGTGGCGGTGAAGGTTTTATTATTAGTAGTAGTATTATCATTATCATTATCATTATTATTATTTTTTTTATTATTTTTATTATTATTATTATTATTATTCACTTCATTCAACTTAATCACCTTAAATTACAAAATGCAATACACAAACACACTAGTAATAGTCTTTATTTGCCAATCGTAAATCATCTTACTTTGTCGGGGGCACCCAACGACTGTTTAGTCTGTAAAATACAGTAAACACCCGCATATAAGAACAAATGGATTAAGAACACCGGATTAAAATTTGGCCAATAAAGCCTCACTTTTATAAGAACAAGATCAGCCTGAAAATTGTGACATGTTCCTATAAAATGGAAAAAGTGTCGTAATTACAAAACATGTAAGTTTATGATATAATATAATACATAATATAATCAAATTACAGAATAACTATTTATTTTGTTTTCCTAAAATATGCTAAATATACCTCTAGCAACATGTTTTGGAATAGTATCACTAAATAAACATTTAAGAACATTTTAAGAACATTTTGACACTGATTTGTCATTAAGCGTCCGAAATCGTGTGTTCTCATATGCGGGTGTTTATGCTGTATCTGTTCGGAAAAGCCGCAAACATGGCCTAGAATTTTCTATTGGTTTAGGACGGCTAAAAATTTCTGGATGCCCGTTCCATTCATGTACAATTTTCACGCTTGTCTAATAATAAAATTTCCTAAAATTTTCTGAACTTAATTTTTTCACATTTCACTGCAAATGTTGGGCTATGTTTCGTACAAAAGGAAAACTTAAATGTTCGGATTCAAAAATGCAATGTAGAGAGGAAGATAGGAAAATTCTCTCTTTCGTAAACGATAAATTGCATATAAAATTTTCGGGATAATAATACTGACGCCCTTGTAAATTCGAAAAGACTCAGGTTCTCCTAGAGTGACCGTACACATACAAATTTTATAGCGCCGCAGTTAAGCCGCTTATAATAGCCTAAAAGTGCTTTCAGTGTATTTAGGAGGAAATCGTCGTTGCGTGCCCCTGACTTTGTGAAATGCTGCTCATTAGACTAAGCTTGCAAACCCTTTCTGTTTCAACCTTCCATGCACTGACTTGAAATCAATTAGTAAACTAACGAAGGCTCCGTATACATAGTGCTAAGGAATGTTTTTATCAATCTTATTTTTTAAGCGTGCCTTAAAGGCTTTTACAAGAGCGTTGCAAGTAACAGTAAATGTGACGAGTGTCCTACAAACTCAGCGTCAAATACTGGAAGAACAGGTTGCTTATGCCATGAAGGGTTCTACAAGAAACCTGGATTACAAGTAGTACCTTGCAAAGGTAATCGTAGATCGAGAGTTCTAAAATTTTATTTGCTTAAATCCCCCTGCTCTTTCTTCATAACCAAAAAAAAAAAAAAAAATAATAATAATAATAATAATAATAATAATAATAAATAAACAAATAACCAACCAGCGATGAAACGCTTAATTACCAAAATTATAATAGGAATACTCTTCAAGGATATAATTTAGAACTTTCGGGCCCTAAAGATCTATTTCTAGGGAATTTCATTTAGCAAGAATAAAACAATTCTTGGAAAATATTTAGCTTATCTCCGATGATCTCCATCTCTTGCTTGCTTCGAGACTTTTCTGGCACAAAATGGCAAATATCTCTTACTAAAACTTTCTCGTTTTAACCTTTTTTTTCAAGCGTGGTCTATGGCAGCGAGCTAATGAACTACGTTTGTGGCTATTGAAATATTGTGTGGCTATTGATCATGGACTATCGTTGGCATAAAAGCATAAAGTAGTGTTTTACTTTACTCTTAATTACTGTAAAAAGTTGGTACTTACGACGATAGATTTCAAAAGAAAGTAAACATGCAATGTAGATGATCACATATTTCCCATTAGTCCCTGCTTACAAAACTACCCTGCCCGAATAATACCCCTTTATGCGATTTGTTTTAGTAACGAAAAAAAAAACACATTCAAATTATCATGCTAACTTATACAAATCAAACCTCCCGCAGCTTTACCAAAGGCACCACGTAATGCAAATGTCACTGTTGTTAAAGAAACTTATGTTGAGATTATGTGGGAACGCACACCTGATGAAAGGGATGGAAAGTTAAGATATTCTGTAGATTGCTTCAGATGCAAGTCCAGCAAATACAAGGATTGTAAGGAGTCATGTGGACCAAGTGTAGAGTATAAACCAAATAAGGACAACGTCACAGATGGTACTGTGGCTGTAAATGGCTTGCCCTCTGATAGTTTCCTGAAGTTTAGAGTTTACTCTGTCAATGAGTTAAATGCACAGGAGAAAGACAGAGACAAATGGAATTATGTTACAGTATCAGCAAAGACTAAAGGTAATTAATAATTGACCACTCCAGAAAATACCGTAACATACCATAATACTCCTTGTTTGTCACCCCAAAATTTTGCATAAGCATTGTTTTCGGTTTCTCTTGGGGACTTTTTAACTCCCAAGAGAAACTGAAGACAATGCTTATGCAAAATTTTGGGGTGACAAACAAAGAGTATTATGGTATGTTATTGCTATTTTCTGGAGTGGTCAATTGGCCGAAGGCACGACTGCGGCTGATGACGAGTTGTTTAGTGCCCAGACCTTTTCAGGGACGGCTAATGGCTTCAAAGCTTACGCAAAACATGGCGTCACTGCGACACCAGCAAAAGAAGGCTATCCATTCGTATATCGTTAAAAAAAAAAATCCGTAGTAAAAAATCCGTAGTCTTTGAAAACGACGCCAGATGTGGATTTCCTCTCTTATACTACTACATGAGAAATTTCTGCAATTTGATTGGCTTAGAGCAGTGGTATTTCAGCTAAATTTGAAATACCTACATGTGAAAATTACAAACCTTTTGTGTGTAGTAGTATAAACGCAAATAATAACCTGATTTGTACGTGATATTTCGCATAAATACCACTTTTGATATTTCAAAATTATCCCAAATTTCACTCGCCTAACTAGTCGTGAAATTACGTATATTAACAATTTCGAAATATCACTCGTGGTATTTATGCCAAATATCACTACAAATCATGCTGTTACCTATACTAACTAGCAAATTACATTTCACTGCCCGCAATAAAAAGGCTACACAAACGCAAAAACATGTAATTCGGGAATCCCAAACAGATCATGTCTGTTGTGTATTTGTTGGACTACTGTATAGTACTAAGTGAAGACGACTAAATTAATGCTCCCACGACTAATTCTTCACAATCAGCTTTGGAAGACTTTTGTGATATTCGAATAGGACTTGAACAGTACAGGGTAATTTTTAGAAAAAGGACAAAACCAAGAATTCCTGGTGACGGATTGCCGTCGTATTGATAGAGCTGTACACAATGTCGAAAAAAAAAACACACTTCGCCAAGAAAGAAACCAAAAAGAAACAGAAATGAAGACAGAAATAGCCGAACATCTGACTAAGGCATGGGTCGCACTTGGCAAATTTTTGGGAGAATTTGTTTACCTTGCGGTAGAAATCTGTCATCAGTGGACATTGCTAAGTGCGACCCCGAGTTTTCAAGTTAGAAAAAACTTTGAAAATCGGCAAAAACATCAAAGACGCCGTAGTGCTTGGGTGGGGCAGGCAGATTTTGGAAAACTCGAGCTAAACAATAGGAATCACAGCGGTAACTGT